GCCCATTCTGAATATAACCGCTCTGGATTCAATCGCCCTGAATTCGACATTGTTCAGCGATGCGTTGTAAGTGATACATTTCAACTCGGTTCGGTATAACCGCTGGTCGCAAGTCCGAGAACTCTTCCAAATCTTTCAGCATGTGATTTTCACAGGCCCTCCAATGGATGACGGGTCCTGGCCGAATGATCCACAATTTATAGCCTGTCCTGAGGGTAAACATGGGTTGCAAGCTTATGCTTGCTTGTGCCGCATTGTAGATGATGGTCGTTTTAATAAGTATGAAGGATACATTGTGAGTCATTTTGATCTTGTCTTCAAGCCGAGCGCTTTTGTCCTTAAGAATCTGAGTAAGATTTGGTATATTGGACGGTTCAGCCCGAACAATCAATGGCTATGGTGGAGCTCAGAGGTGGGTCAAAGGACTTGTGGGTGGAAGTGGTTCAGGACTTTTGGGCAAACGTATCCGAAGATTTGATGGCTACAGTTCGCCGTCCTTACATCCACCGCGGCTGGAAAATCAGCGGATTCTCGGACATAATTTATTTTCCTCACAGCTGCATGCCTCAGTTCTTGAAATGCGCCAAGATCATGAATCAAACACAGGTATTTTTAGAGATCGGCTGGCCCATGATGGTCGAGATTCTCACGGCATCTGACACCGAAATAGAACCCATACAAGGTGGTCCTTTTTCTAGCGACAGTATTCGCGACTTCATGAATCCAAATAATGACTTCGTGCATCAAGTGAAATGGAACCTCGAGAAACATGGCCGATTTTTTACGAGGTTATTCAAATGTCGAAACGGATGGGTCTAATCTGTCATACGTTAAGATTCGAACGACATGTCCGATTCCGAAAAGGGTGAACTCCTATCAATTTGAACTTCTATTATGTTTCATAAAAAGACCATTTTGAGAAGAGAAATCTTTAAACTTGACTTTTTGGTTTCTTTTACGCATGATATCAAAGTCACCGACCACTGGAGACACTTGATTTTGGCTCTGAATGGCTTTGGCGCAGCTGGGTTTCCTGATCTGTAAAGCAAATGACATTGTGCTATATTTAAACTAGCGAGTTTGTTTTCCCAAAGGGGAACCGAACTCACTATGGACACCCCTTCGGCGCTCTATGCCCAAATCATATTACTAATGCATTTAGAGGATTCGTTTTCGAAGCTCACCCCCAATGATGTTGTCAAACCCCTTGGTTTATGGGTTTGGCAATTCTCCCGCCAATTGGCAGTTAGCGTTCGCTTCTTAGAAATTCATTACTTTCAGAAAATTACCGTATTGACATTTGATATCCAGCATGAGGATCAAGAACTCGAGGTAAAATTTCAGGGCGTAGTTAAATATTCCAATATTGAATTTCATTCCTGCCTGCGTTGATGCACTATTATGTTGCATATTATTCTTAAAAAACAACAGCAGACATATAAGTACATTACTTCACAGTTAAAATCCATTCATTTCATGCGCACTACGTGGCCCTTTATTGTCATATTAACACCTATAATCGGGCAGAATGACTCCTAGGATGTCCCTGTCAAACTTTTCTAAAGGTCATGTACAGTTATCCATGAAAAAAGCGTCACTCCGTAAATGCAGCACGAAGCTATTCCTTCCCGTTTCCGTGAAATGTGCAAATGGAAATATCATTAGCCAAAGTGTCCGTAAGTGGGTAGGGCATAGTCGCTCTAAATCGAAGTGTTCATAGAAAATCTTCCTACCCATTTAACGGTCGTAAACAATAAAAAAACCCATTCGCACACACAAGCATATCAGTATGCTTCAACCCATGTCTTTATATTCACCTGTGACATAGAGGGCATAGGCCAAAGGCCTCGCCCCTTATGCGAAGGCAGCAGGATTTCCGATCAGATAGACCAAAAAGTTCTCGCATGCGAAGGTGTCGGTCAAGATTCACGCACGAACGACGTTGAAGGGGTTTGATATGGGCCACCAAAATCTGTCCCCTCAGGGTACGTACCTACAGCGTTGAACCTCATTTGTCGTAAAAAAGGGAACAGCTAATTGTTTTCCCTTCCAATTTATTTTAAGGAAGAAATGTATGAGAGTGGTATTACCCTAAGCGTCAGTCTGTGGGTTAAGGCTAGGCTTACAAAATAGGCTTACAATGTTCCCGCGTGGTCGGTATCCCCGAAATTAGAATTTTCCTGGAGCTAGCAAAATAACAGCTATTCGTGTACCAAGTTTCAGCCCCCCATAATTTCTGAAACATTGTTAAAATTAGCTTCAGTCAGTCTGTACAGGGTGTCCCGTAAGTCAGGACCCATAGGGAAAAATTAAAAAATTACAAAATAGTCCAAAAATGTATTACATTATCTCATTATCTCATTACATTATCAAAGTGTCCGCCGTTGTGTCGCATACATAGTTGAAGACGCAATCTCCACTGCAACCGCACTTTCCGAATCACAGTCGCAGAAATTTCGCAGAAAAAGAAAATAGAAATCCCTATGGGTCCTGACTTACGGGACACCCTGTATATACTAGTCGATATCCCGTGTACGCACGGATGTTAAGTGACCTTTGACTTTGCTGACTGGATAGGGATTGCTAGAGAAAACGGATTACTGGATGGAAGGTAATAGTGGTGGAGTGCACTTGGGAACTGCCTCCAAAGCCCTACCCATGCCCAACGTTTGGTCAATAAACCGAGGCTAGAAGTTAGTCCCTTAGAAGCAAAAATTAGAGGCTCTCTTTGAACACATATAAACAAGTGAACAGCTTGTTGATTCCTTTCAAAACTGTACCCTGTTTGTGTTGAAAATCTAATACTTTAATTCGAAGAGGTCAAAAGTTGTGGTGGTTGGTGGTCGTGGCTGCAATCCCCCAACACGCGGGCCTACAATGCTATGCCATTCTGGGTCACAGGCCAGGCCTACAAGACTATGCTGTTCCAGGCCATCTCACACATTTTATATCGAAGAGCCCGAGAGTTGTGGGGGTGGTTGTCACTCCAACGCGCGAGGCCAACGGGACTATGTCACTTCAAGCCACAGGCTATGCCATCCGCCCCTCAAAGCGCCAGGTCCATGAGGCTATGCTATTCTAGGCCATAGGCTTGGCCATCCAACGCTTTTAGCGCCAGATCCATCGAGTCATATCAGTCTGAGCCATAGGCTGTGGCTCATCCTATTATTTCCATGGGCTTCATACTTGGCTGTGTCAATCAAAGGGTGCTACTAACTGAATGCTTGTCACGTTTTCACTGATCGACTGCAAGTTCTCCATTTGAATACATTCTTTGCATACATTCTTTTTTCTGTATTTTTTTTCGTTAGGTCGGGCGTGGCGGTTCGGGCCATCGCTTCCATGCAATAGTTTTCTGTTTGCGTTTCATGTCATAGCCGATTTATTTGGGTTCTCACGATTGATGAAGTCAAAATAATAGTATAAAAAGTCTCAGCTTCATATGTCGCGCAAACGAGGTGCACCTCTCATGAAAATGGTGTCGATTTTTGCGAGGTGGGGTTTAACGCGAAGAAGAAATGTTGAGGGAGGTCCCACAGGACGGCGTTGAGGCAGTTGTTGCTGGTAAAAAAATTGTTGGTGCAGGCGCGGAAAGAACGTTTGCCACTGCAGTTGCGGTGCGAAGTGTCGAAATCGGTGCTTTAGGAGGAGCTAGCCATAACGGCTACAATGAGTGATGAACAGTACCCAGTTGCACGCAGGGAGCGTAAGGCTCCTCAGACCGCTGAACAGCAAGAGGCAGCGAATGCTGAGCTCAGGAATATGAGAGCCATGCAGCCTGCTTGGCGACTTGATGCTACGCAGCACTCAGGTGTCAAAAGCCGGGGCGGCCGGGAATTGAACACGGATCTCCTGCTTGCCGGTCAGGTGGGCTTCTATTACACCACGGAACTCGGGATGTTATTATTCCTCTCCATGTTATCTCAATCACTGCAGTCGTTTGTCGCGAACACTTTCAAACTCTACATTTTGATATAGGGAGTGGGCATTTGTTTCACATTGCTGGCACAACGGAAAAATGCTCCTGCTACAACTCGCACTTTACCCTGAGGCTCTGAAAGTGTTGCTCACTGTTGCTAATGTGGCGGCGAGGCATTTTCAGTCGCTAGCAATGTGCCACACATGCACTAACTTCCCTCTGTGCCGTCGAACAAGTTTTTGGAAATGGTCCGTACTGTTTAAGGATCATTGGTGTCTGTACCATACGCTAACGCTTATAGCCCATAAGCTAATCGGTTCTGATGCAAGAATATTGAATGTACTAGGAAGACCAAATCAGCAAAGTCATCTTGAGTAATGAAAACGTGCTAAACCGAGGCGTTCACAATGACGATTGTGGCAATCTGCTCGAATATCTTGGTAATGGTGTTTAGGAACAGAATCTCCTTGTGTACTGTAAGCTATAATATGTGTGTATAAATGTATTGAAGCGATTCAGTTCCGAATGGGTTATGCTCACAATAGACAATTCAAATTTCCACTTATTAGACGGCCAGTGTAGCAGCCGCAGGCCACTAGTATTGACTTTAATTCAGTCCTTGGTTGTCGCTTTTGTAAAGGCAACGTACAGCTGAGTGTGGCCAAAAACTGAGTCCGGTAAATAAATCCAAACGTTGTGGAATATCTGACCTTGGAATTTATTGATAGTCATCCTGAATGTCAATATTATGCGAAATTTTCTTCGGTTCAGGGTTAACGGCATGTCTGGATCCAATAGAACGAGAGATCGGTTCGGAGATGAAGACACCTTGACCATTTGCTGTTCCAGTTAATGCTTCGCAATCAATCAAATGGAATTTTAAAGCTTTCACATTGAGTTTTGTGCCGTTGCAAATACCTAACCTCGTGTTTCACATCTATGCCAGTTTTCAGCTGTCCACGTCTCTCTGTTTTACTCAAGCAAAAATAATATTTTGGAGGGGGAATGAGAATCGGAACAACAAAGCAAAAGAAGTATTAAAAAAAACTGAATTGCCGGGAATTAAACCAAAACCTCCTGAATGCAGGTTAGATGTGCTACTACTACACCACCGAATCCGGGACATCCAGTTGATTTTCTAAATGCCATCCTCATCTGTTTAAGAAAACGTTTTCCCCTAAAATTTGTATCCCCAGGGTGGTTCCATTTCAAATCAGGCAGGGTCGCGGTTTTTGCGTCAGGTCATAGTCTTGGATTTAAAAAAAAATATATATGTGATTCCCTCTTTCAAATGATGGAAAATGGTATATTATTTATCTCTATATCTGCAATAGTTTCGAGAAAAAAATTCAAAAGTGCAGGGCTCTGAAAAGGGCGACTTGTGAAATTCCTGTTTTCTCCCACTTTCAATTTGCTGTATCTCATAAAGTCATAGGCATAGATACCTGAAATTTTTTTCTCGCATACTTGAATGTACGTCTTGTGGAAGCATTTGAGAAAAATCTAAATTATAATTTTATAAATACGCCCAAACAGCATGTTTACATTCATTTTACGTAAAAGAATGTAAGGTTTTTGTCCATTTTGTCATTTTTACACAAACCATCGTCAAGAAAATGTCAACATGTTTGCAGAAATGTCACATCTGTGATACGTAAACGGTGATATAAAATTAACGTAAATTTTACGTAAAATTTACATTCCCGTTGGCATTCCAAACAGCATGTTTACATTCATTTTACGTAAGATTTATGTTAATTTTCGCCTGGCATTCATGCGTATTTAAGGAGTCAGTCAGTCCCATTGAAGAGAATTGATATACCGAACCTCCTATTCCTTTTCGTTCTTCAGAACTCTAGGGTGGTTGGACGAGTACCCAAGTACTCATCCTCACCAGCACCCAAGAGTACCAAAGTGACCTACTGGTTCCTCCTCCCGTACTGGAACCTCGGGAGGAGGAGTAGATGTTCAAAGGAGCTCTCCTATCCAGTCTGAGGAGACAACCATCGCCTGGTGTAGGGGGAACGGACTGCTGCCTTGCGCAGCTGATCAGGAACAACCGCCTCCTTGCCTTAAAGCAGGCTGCAGTGGAACCCTGAGGGATGCCACTAAAGTAATGCGGGGGAAAACATACGCGATCCTCCGCTGCAAGAAGTGCAAGGGGGCATGGAGTGCGAGGAGGGGAAGGCAAGCAATTGGGGTGCAGGGTCCACAGCAGATGTCAGGTGGATGTTTCTTTGCTTTTTAGGATCGCCTGGGTCGGCCCTGCTCGAAGCTCCCCATTAGAGTCATCTTGGCGCTTGCCTGGACGTGGGCCTACGACATCACCATCACTAAGAGCAAGCTCATGTTAGCAGGGGAACTGAGTAGCCTTCGAAATGAGACCTTCATTGACTGGCGACACTTCGCGAGAGAAATCCTCCAGGTGCTCTTTGCGAATGCGCGGCCAATGGGTGGCCCAGGAGAAGTGATCCAGATTGATGAAAGCTACTTTCGGTTAGCTTCGCATGCCTCTCTTCAAATCTCTGATATGTTCTCCACACATGAGAGTATCATGAAATGCATATTTGCAGGGCCCGGCGGAAAAACAACAAAGGCCGCCTGATGCAAGGCAACGCCGTTCCTTCTGCATGGGAAAACTATGGGGACGTCGTAGACGGACCATGGGTCTTTGGAATGGCCTGGCGTCATGATGGGCACACGGAACTGCGTCTGCTTCACGTTCAGAGGCGGGACCGTGCGACGCTGCTGCCCATCATCAGACAGCACATTGCTCCGGGGACGGAGATCTGGTCGGATGAATGGGCAGCATATGCAACCTTGAGCCATCACGGATACAACCACAAGACCGTGAATCACCAACAGCACTTTGTGGATCCTGTGAGTGGCTGCAACACCCAAATGATAGAAAGTCACTGGGCTTCGGTCAAGGCCCGTATACAAACTCGCGGGCGCGGAACAACGTCCAAGATGCTGCAAATGCATCTCATCGAAGCCTGGTGGCGTTCTGTCCATGACGCTCCAAGACCGTTCCTTGACTTTCTTGACGCCATCAAGTCCGTCTACCCACAAAAATAGCACACCTTCATGCTATTCTTTTTATTCCCATGCCCATTGACATTGACATTCTTTCCTTTTCTTTTGATTTCTACTTTCCTCATGAATTTCATTATATCGCTGACTTCTGACTATCACGCGACATTCATTACATGAGACTCAGCAATCTGGAAATGCGCAGAAACGCATCGAAGAAGACAAACATAATGAAATGCAGTCACATGGGATGTAAACGACACAAAGAGACTCACTCAGCTGGGCAGAGAGAAGATATGCATCTGGCAACACTGTTCCCGACTCGGGATATGGCCACTCCCGGAAGAACTGGGAGTGGAACGCGAACGGCATCGTATCAAGAACCACATAGATCCAGATCCTTTACGTTGATGAAATACATGAAGGAAGGATGGGTGGTGACACAGCGGACCAAGGATGGGAGGGTGTAGGGGGGTGGTGACGTCCCGGCATATGGCGACTCCCGTAGGAACAAGAGAGGACCGCGTACGGCATCGAGTGAAGGCCTGGATCCTTTAACTTGATGAAATACATTAAGGGAGGAGTGATCTCAACAAGTATTACAAGGGTGGCGACATATCGGACCGAGGTGGTGAAGGCGTAAGGGGGGTGGTGACATAACGAACCATACCCGGAAAACACGCGGCTCCGAAATGATGGGATCGCACGTAGAAAAGAAATCATGCTGGCAAGAACATGTTTAAGAAGAAAAATGATGCATACAAGAATAAATGCGGGCAAGGTAATGTGTAGGCAGGAATGCAACTGGGTACTGTTCATCACTCATTGTAGCCGTTATGGCTAGCTCCTCCTAAAGCACCGATTTCGACACTTCGCACCGCAACTGCAGTGGCAAACGTTCTTTCCGCGCCTGCACCAACAATTTTCCCTGTTCCCCAACGGGCGGGCCTACGATGCAATGCCATTCTGGGTCATAGGCCAGGCCTACAAGGCTGCTCCTTTCCAACCCATCATCTAATACTTTAATTCGAGGAGGTCCAAAGTCGTAGTGGTGGTGGTGGTCGTGGCCGTCACCCCCAACGCGCCGGCCTACAATGCAATGCCTTTCTGGGTCATAGGCCAAGCTATCCGCGGCCTAAAGCGCCAGGTCTACAAGGCAACGCCTTTCCAGTTCACTTTTTATATTTTAATTCGAAGAGCCCCAGAGTTGTTGAGTAGTAGTTGTCACCCCAGTGCGCGAGGCCTACGAGACTATGTCACTTCAGGCCATAGGTTGGACCATCCACCCCTCAAAGCGCCAGCTCATTGAGGCTATGCTATTCTAGGCAATAGGCTTGACCATCCAACGCTTTTAGCGCCAGCTATATCAGTTTGAGCCATAGGCTTCATACTTCGCTGTGTCAAAGGGTGGTAATAACTGAATGCGTGTCACGTTTTCACTGATCGACTGCAACTTCTCCATCTCAGTACATTTTTTGTTGAAGTGTTTTTTTATTTCTGTATTTACTTTTTTTTCCGTTAGGTAAGGCGTGGCGGTTTGGGACATAGCTTCCATACAATAGTTTTCTGTTTGCGTTTCATGTCATGGCCCATTTATTTGAGTTCTGATGATTGATGAAATCAAAATAATAACGTAGGCTTTTGTTTCATTCTTCGCGCAAATGGGCCGCTCCTCCCATCAAAATGGTGGCAGTTTTTGTGAGGTGAGGTTGAACGTGAAAAAAAAAGTTGAAAGAGGTCCCACAGGACGGTGAAGAGGCAATCGCTGCAGATAAACCATTGGTGCTGGCGCGGAAACAACGTTTGCCACTGCAGTTGCGGTGCGAAGTGCCTGAATCGGTGCTTTAGGAGGTCCTAGCCATAATAGCTAGAATAATTTATGAACGGTACCCAGTTGCACGCAGGCAGCGTAAGGCTGAACAGCAAGAGGCAGCGAAAGCTGATCTCAGGAAAAGGAGAGCCATGCAGCCTGCTGGGCAACTTGATGCAAGGAACGCAGCACGCATGTCGAAAACCGGGGGGCGGCCGGGAATTGAACCTGGGACCTCTTGCTTGCCGGTCAAGTGTGCTACTATTACACCACGGAACTCGGGACATTTTGTCAGACCTCTTCATGTCATCTCATATCACTACAGTCGTTTGTGCAGCGAGCACTGTCAGGCTGCACATTTTGGTATAGGGAGGGGATACTTGTTTCACATTGCTGCCACAACGGAAAGGGCTTCTGCTGCAACTCACACTTAAGGCCAATCCTGTTGTTCACTGGTGCTAATGTGGAGGCGAGCCATTTTCAGGAATCATTCGTTAGTATTCTGCTGCACATGCGCTAAATTTCCTTTGTGCTGAAGTCGAATAAAGTTCTTGGAAATGGCCCTTAATGTTTCAGAATCAGTGGTGCCTGTACCATAAGCTAATGCTAATAACCCATGAGTTAATCGATGATGCAAGAATATTCAATGTGCTGGGAAGAAGTTGTGGTAGTGGCAATCACCGCAACACGGGAGGCCTACGAGACTAGATAATTTTAGGCCATACGCTAGGCCATCCACCACTCAAAGCGCCAGGTCAATTAGGCTATGCCATCTTTGGTTATGGGCTAGACCATACACCCCTCAAAGTGCCAGGTCCATGGGGCTATGCTATTCTAGGCCAAATGATTGGCCATCCAACGCACTTAGCGCCAGGGCCATCGGACTATATCAGTCTGAGCCATCATACTTAGGTGTGTCAAGCAAAGGGTGCTACTAAATGAATGCGTGTCACGTTTTCAATAATCGACTGCAAGTTCTTCATTTGAATAAGTTCTTTGCTGAGGTGTTTTTTTCCCGTTAGGTCAGATGTGGCGTTTCGCGCCATCGCTTCCATTTTCCGTTTGCGTTTCATGTCATAGCCGATTTATTTGAGTTCTTAAGAAATGTTGAAGTGCGTCTCACAGGACAGCGATGAGGCAGTTGTTGCTGGTGAAAAACGGTTGGTCTGGCGCGAAAACATCGTATGCCATTGTAGTTGCGGTGCGAAGTGCCAAAATCGATGCTAGCCGTGATGGCTAGAATCAGTGATGAACAGCAAGCAGATGTGCGTACGGCCGCTGAGCAGCTAGAGACAGCGAATGCAGAGCTCCGAATATCAGAGCTATGCATCCTGCTGGGCAACTTGATGCAAGGAACGCAGCACTCAGATGTCGATAGTCGGTGGGCGGCCGGGAATTGAACATTGTCCTCCTGCTTGCCGGACAGGTGTTCTACCATTACACCACGGAATTCGGGACGTTTTGTCATGTCTCTCCATGTCATCTGAAATCACTACAGTCGTTTGCGCAGCGAGCACTGTCAGGCTGTACTTTTTGATGTTGGGAGGAGGCATTTGTTTCGCAACGGAAAAATGCTCTTGCTGCAACTCTCACTTTAGCACCAGTGAGCAACACTTTCAGAGCCTGGGGGTAATGTGGTGGCATTTTCTGGAATTAGTCGCTAGCATTGTGTCGTACATGTACTAAATTCCATTTGTTCCTTCTAACAAGTTCTTGGAAATGGTCCGTACTCTTTCAGAATCAGTGGTATCTGTACTATAAGCTAATGCTAATAGCCCATGAGATAATCGGTGATATAAGAGTATTGAATGTGCTAGGGAGACGAAATCAGCAAAGTCGTCTTGAGTCTCATGAAAACGTGCTAAACCGTTCACAATGAACGATTGTGGCAATCAGCTGGAATATCATAATGATGGTGTTTAGGAACAGAATCTCCCTGTGTACTGTAAGCTATAAGTGTGTACATGTAATGGAGCGGTTCAGTTCCGAATGGGTAATGAGGTGAACAGAGGATTGTCAAGGAGGCGTTATGCTCACAATAGACGGTTCAAATTTCCACCTACAGGGCGTTTCATTTAAATTGTACATCTTTGAACGCTCATATCTCTGAGAGGACGCAACCATTCTTTACGAAATTTGACCACAATATAGAGCAACCTTCGACAAATTATTGGACGGAGTTTCTTAATCGCAGAGCCATCTATTGAGTTGAAACACCGATTCTGACAAAACCTCTGAAACCAAGATCTCATCAACTTGATGAAATCTTTTGCAGCACATCATTCGTTAGATAATGCCTTGATCCAGTGGTGCTGAAAATTTCATGATTGTATCTCATCTCCTTACTAAGATATCAATCGTCAAACCTTAGCCACTTAACCCATCCGCTTACACCTGATACTCTCAATGCCATGGGTTTTT